TTTCGCCACCTGTCTCAAACCTGACCATTTCTCTTTGGGTCTCCTAGAGCCCGGTCTGGATTAGCTATACAAAAAAATGAGATCTCCAAAGCCTATATAATTTTATTAACCAATATCATCCCAATAAATTCAGTAAAAAAATCAACAAAGGAATGCAATCTGGTTTGAGCGGTTGGTCTATCCCTCTGTTCCTTTCTTCCCTCCTTTCAGTTTTGCAGAAGAGTGAGATAAAACATACAGGCATAAAAATGCATAGAACACGTTTGGACAGCTTAGCAAATAATTGCAAATCAACCCTCTTTGGAACCAACACCCAGATAAAGTAGTAATTATCAGCAATCAAGAAGTCCCCTGCGTATCCCCTGAGTAATCACAATCCCCTCCATGCCCATTACTATTAACTACTATTATCCTGACATTCATGGTATTAATTTCCTTCTTATTCTTTATAATTTTACCACCTATCTTTGAACTTGCTCAGTATGGATTCCCACTGAATACATTCTTCTGCTGTCAACACTTTTTCCCTCAGCATTATGTTTGTGAGATTCAAGCATATGACTGTAGTTGTAGGTCACTCATTTTTATTGCCATATTGTGTTCCACTGCATGAATACATATGCTATTTCCTATTCTATTCTAGATGGATAGGGTTATTTCCAGTTTGAGCCTATTATGAACAATGCTGCCAAGAACATTCTTGCCCATAAGTCCTGGTGCACATGTGCAAGAGCTTTTCTAGGGTGATGACCTAGTGTGGCTTCTCTTTAATCCAGGCTTAGCACATTCATTCTTCCCAGTCTCCTCTTTCAAAACTAGTTCTCAGGAAAGGTCATTAAATTCACTCATGCTGAGGTAGGAATGACTGAGAAGTATTACTACATATCCTCTTCCATATAACTAAACTAACATCAAGTGAATTAATTTCTAATAGTAGAACCTCAGCTATCTGGAGGGTTAGGGAGAAATCTATTAGGGTGGGCCCTGAGAAAGATATCACATAGCAGTAACGTATGGGCCAAGAAAAGTAAAATTAAAAACAAAAACCCAAAACAAAGCAAACACAACAAAACAAACATGAAAAAATACATAAGGTGTTGCCCTAGTTGGCTTGGCTCAGCTGTTAGAGTGTCCACCTGCGGACTGAAGGGTCCTGGGTTCAATTCCAGCCAAGGGCATATACCTCGGTTGTAGGCTCGATTCCCAGGTTGCTTCCACTCTCTCTGAAAAGCAATGGAGAAAATATCTGCAGGTGAGGATTTAAAAAAAATACCCAAAGTGTTATGTTTATTATTTTAAATATATCTATATTGATTTCAGAGAGAGGAAGGGGGGGGAGAGAGAGAGAGAGAGAGAGAGAAAGAGAAACATCAATGATGAGAAAGTCATTGATTGGCTGCCTCCTGCATGTCCCCCCCACAACCCAGGCATGTGCCCCGACCAGGAATCCAACTGTGATCTCCTGGATCATAGGTCAATGCTCAAATGCTGAGCCACGCCTGGCTGGGCTTTATTATTTTTTTAAAATTTTATTTTATACTTTCAATAATCTTGTGAGAAAAAAGGAACCATAAAGACTGTGCTGTTTGAAAAGTCAAAAACCAGGCACAGGGCATGAAGACCCTTTTCCAATGGTCAGCGGCACTTAAAGGCTAACTGAAGTGGTCAAGAAGAAATCCTTAAGGTCAGACACCTACACTCGAGGCCCGCCTCCCTCAGCCAGGTAAGTTATCTTCTCCAACTGGTTTCCTCATGTGTGAAATTGACGTGATAATAATACTTCATGAGGTTGTTCTATCAATACAGACAACAGTGCCTGCCACTTAGTAAGTGCTCAACCAATATTCAATATCATTCTACTTATTCTAATTTTTTAAGCTGAGCATGGACACTTTTTGTGAGAGCCCCGTAAGCAAATGATCTGAGTGGGGTTCACTGAGGTTATTGGCTATTAAGGGGGGTACACAGGAGAGAAGAGGGAAAGAAAGCAAAAGTGAAGCCGGAGAGAGAAATAAAAGGGGCACATGTGCTAAGCAGGAGAAAAGTGCCAGATTTCCAGAAGTGGGTGGCTAAAGGCCGGTCAGACGGATAAGCAGAGGGATTGACAGAGGGAATGCTGTAGCTGTAGTAATAGGTCCTGCCTGGGGAGAGGTTTGAGTAGGTCTCAAACTTCTGGGTCAGGGCAGAGAGGTCAGACCTCATCAATACATGATTAGCAAGGTGCAGGGAAAGAAGTGAGTTAGATAGCAGTTAGCAGACAAGGACGTGCCTACCCACAGGGCAGCCAGTGCTGATGGCTTCCCTACTCAGGCATCAGGAAGACACTCAGCTTTTCTGTCTCAGGATTTTCTCTGAGCTTGAGCTTGCTCAATCGACTTTGCAGGGACAGTCAGAGGAGGAAAGTGTGTGGGAGGGGTGGGGGGGGTGCCTCCCAGGGGCAGCTCTCAATCAATACAGGATGAAGGTTGATAGATAAATGTCTCAACCTCCCATCCTTCAGAGGGACAGTTCTAGGTGATTTTTATATGGCTTTTCAAAGGTCTCCAGGGAGATTGTGCCAGTTGTCCACAGTGAAAACCAGCTCAGTAATGCATCTTTCATTGGCTTTCCTTTCTTCCCTGTTTCACTCTCCCCTCCTCCTCATTGTTGTCCTTGGATAGCTTCCCAAATAAAGTACTGTCACCAAAGTCCTTGTCTCAGTTCTGCTTTAGGAAGGACCCAAACTAAATTATATTATCATGTAGCATAAATATGAGAGCTGAGATCCAAACAAAAAATAACAAAAACCCCACCCCTTCCTGACTTCTTGCTCAAAGTTGAAGAAATATGGTCAAATGGAAATTAGGAATTTATTTATTTATTTATTTATTTATTTATTTATTTATTTATTTATTTATTTATTTATTTATTTTTCACCAAAAGAAAATTATAAGAACTAACAGAGTCGAGATTGTAGCACAAGCTAAATGTGCTCAGATAGACTAATCCAATGTGAATGGGCATATGAATAGAAGAAAAAACAAACCAAAAAATATTAGAAGAAAATGGAAGCAACCTGGAAATAAACCCTGGAGAACTTCTCACACAGGAGGGACCACACAGGAGGCTGCTCATTGCAGGGCTATTTGTGGTAATGGGAGTTGAAAGCTTCGGGGGCTCACTACTAGGGGAAGGGGTGAGTAAAGCAGTTAAGAGCAAGAAATTGCGTGTGCCACAGCCATGTGCATAGCTTATAAAACAGCGTTGAGTGAAAACAGTAAGAAATAGAATAAGGTCTATGATGCAGTATCATTTACATGAATATTCCATACATATACTACATGTTTTATAAGAAAGCATACAAATATTATTATACCTGTCAAATGCACCAGATTGGCTGTCTGGTGGGCAGGGGGAATTGGAGTGGGAAATGGGGATAAAAGGGAATTCTTTAAAAAGTGTCTTATATGGACCAATGACAACTGTGTGGCGTATGAACTGAGGAGTCAGGTAGTATGATTTACTCAACTCTGCACCTGAAGCCTGAAATGAAAAAGAAGGAAAACACAGGAAGACACTATTATAACCTTAGTTTAGGGAAGGCTTTTTAAATAAGGTAAAAACACACAAACCATAAAGTAAAAAACTATAACTTTGACTACATGCACAAAGAGGCATCTATAAGATTTCAGCGCAACATTTTAGTAATAGCTAAAAGTTGGAAATGACCTAAAGGTTCATCCAGAGGGAAATGGTTCATCGTGGCCTATTGATGCCATAGAATACTATTCAGGGTCAAAAGAAGAAGTTAACTTGTGTGTACTGTCAAAGGGCGCAAAACTATAAGGAGGCCATTCTCAGGGTGGTGCAGGTCTCACCCGCCTCAGCCTAGTCCTGACCCTACCAAGATATATTGATAGGTGAAAAAAGCAAGTTGAAGAAAAAAAGTATAATACAATATAATATATGCTATAAAATGTGGGGTGGCACAAAAAAAGAAATCTATGTTTTTGTCTGTATATTCTACACATATGTAAATGCTTAGAATGAAGTCTGGGACATTTAAAAAATAAATATATGTGTTAAAGGGGGGTAGGGAGCATTAAAGGTTCGTTACATGACTAGTTTCTCTGTGGCAAGACCTTCCAGAAACTTTGAGCAATAAGGCTAGTTTTTCCAAGTGTCACTGGGTTCATAAGCACTCATCTTCCAGGGTCATGCTGGAGAAATTTCTTGGGCCAGGGCCTGTACTTTCCCAAGCTTTCCAGCAGGGGGCAGAAGCATCATGAGCCCGCAGCCCTGGCAAACTACCCTGTGACCTGATATTTAGGGCTGGGCCTGGCCTGCTTGAGCTGCAGACATTTGGCCTGCTTGTTTGTCCACCATTAAAAGCTGATTATTTTTAAGTTTTCTTGCAGAGTAGCAGATTCGAATATGTACTCTTGGCTGCATAGTTTAAAAATTCTGAACATGCATTTGAGTTCAAGGTAAAATCTAATTTTTTTTTTTCCAAAGTGGAATTGACCCAATTTATTTATTTTTTATTATGGAAGTTGAATATATTCATTACAATTTTTAAAAAGTATAAAGTAGAAAACTTGTAGTTTATTATCTGGAGAAAACACTTTAATGTATCTATTTTCTATATTCTTAAAAACATATATAAACACTTTACCAAAAGGGCCATCATATTATACATACCATTTTATAGCTGCTTCTTTTCAAGTGGATCAACAAGATCACTTTTGAGGCATCTTTTAAGGGCTCAATATTAAGTGAAATTTACATATGCGTTATTAATTCAGTTTTTCCATTAAAAGCATCCTGACATTGAGTGGGATGGACCAAGACCTCCATGCCATTGTTTGGTCTTCAAGTCTGGTCATGTTGTTCTGACAGGGATGGCCTGGCATTTCTAGGAGCAAATCAGCAGCACAAACCAAGCCATTTTTGGATCTACACCTCGGAATAGTGTAGAGTTATGACAGCCAAGAGCTTATGTCGCTCATGGTCTTTTGCAGGTTTCCCCACACAGTGGCTTCCTGGATGATGAATGAATATTATTTCCATCTATTGGATAACAGAAGATAATCGCAGCTCAGCTTTAAAATCTCTCTTGGAAGAGTGACCAAGCTGTCCCTCTGCATATTGTGTGAACTGACTTACTTGAAAGTAGACTTTGGACAGACAGATTTTAGCTGCTTCGCCCTAGGGAAGGTGATTATCTCATTGTAGAAATTTATAATGTGGCCCTTACTGATTAATCATTCAGGGAGGTTTTGTTCCAAAAGGATAAAGTAAGGGACTCATATGTAAAGATATGTCAGATTTAAATTATCTTTCTTTCTGGCACTATTCTTCCACTTGTATTAAATCTAAATCCTAGAAAACTTAACCAGATGAGATCTATACTTTTGGAAAGTGTGTCAAAGAAGCAAAGAATTTCCTGTGGCACTTCAAATGATCTTCCTCCAGGAGGTGGAATGAAGAAAAAGACTACCCGTTTTGTAGAAGGTAGAGATGCTGGTAACAGAGAAAACCAGATCAATAGGCTTATTAGGAGAATGAACTAAGGTATCTACCATGGTTATTTTTGTAATCTGGTCAGTTAATAAACAGTAAGTGCTTTAAAATTGGAAAGAAAGAAAAAAGACAGGTGTAAGTTACTTTGTAACACAATAGATGCTATGATGAAAGTAGGTGCCAGAGCTCAGGGAAGGGTTACCAAATTCAGGCTACATGGTCAAGGAGGGCTGCCTGAAGGAGGAGGCACTTCAAAAGAATCATGCCTTTGAGGAGATGCTGCCATTTCAGGAAATTGCAGCTTAGTGAAGCCAGCTAAATGTCTTCAGGTGATCCAAGGGAGAGCCCAGCCCTGGCTCACAAATCAGTCATCTTTCCCTGTGCTGAGACTTTCATCTTCCATAAGGAAGGACTCTGAACCAGAGAAGAAAACTGTAGTCACAGATTCTAGTTCTGATGCTGGACTAGGCACTGGACTGCTTTGTAATGTTAGACACCTTAGATCTATTCTACTTGTGAACAATTTCCTCCCCTGAGGAATTAGAACTGTGGTCATTCTTCATGGAGATGATAGAATTTAAGCCAGTTCTTTCCTTTTATACAGATGTGTCAGGTGTACGTACATATGAAGAAAAAGTTGTCACCAAATGAAGATCCACTGAAGTGGGAAGAGGGGTGGTAGTCAGGGTCCTACCTCTAGGTTATCTGGACAGTCATCTAGCCCTAGGCTTCCCTCCCAGGGTCCACAGGTAGGTGGGTGTCCTGTGGCCTGAGATGGGATCTCTTTAGCATTCAGAAAGCTGAGCAGGGCCTGAGGTGGCTAGAGGAGCTCTGTGCCTTTTCCCCAGTGCTTAGTAAATGTTACCTTTTTACTCTGTGCCATGATATAAATAAGAAAGGAAGCCTTGATCTAGCATCAGTGGCATTGCCAGTCCTGACCTCAAACTCTCTTTTACCAAGAAAGGCCAGAGATTGATGAGAAATAACTTTTTTGCCCTAGTGATACAGCTTTATGATGGTAGTTTCTGCTCAGGAAGAAAGGTTAAGGAAACACTGTCTCTCACAAATGAGCTACTCACAGTTTGCATGACCCTTGGGCTAGAGTTCTATAAACCAGCAGGCCTGGCGTATACAGTGGGAAATTTGGTCCATTGGAGCCTGATGCTTCATATTGACTTTCAATTTGATTTTCTGGGTCAGCTGGATCAGTGAATCCTGTGTTCATTGTAACATGTTCCAAAACTGGCTCTGTTATGAATTGGATTGTGTTTCCCTCAAAAAACTATGTTGAAATCTTAACCCCAGTACCTTAGAATCTGACCTTATTTAGAAATAGGTCTTTGCAGATGTGATTAGTTAAAATGAGGTCATACTGGAGTAGGAAGGACCCCTAATCCAATATGACTGGTGAGAAGACAGTCATATGAAGACAGACACACAGGGAGAAAACTATGAAGGCAGAGATTGGAGATATGCAGCTATAAGCCAAGGAGTACCAGGGCTTGCCAGCAAACAACCAGAAGCCAGGAAGAGGCAAGGAAGGATTCTCCTACAGGTTTTGGAGGGAGCATGGCTCGGCTGACCCTTATTTTTGGACTTCTAGCCTCCAGAACTATGAGACAATAAATTTCTGTTGTTTTAAGGCACCAAATCTGAGGTGCTCGATTACAATAGCCCTAGGAAACTTACACGGCCTCCCAAGGCTGAGGTTTTATCAGTGCGCACACAAAAACAGTTTGTAGTCTTGATTTGATGGGCATAATTTCAGCATCTGTTTTCATAAATTTTGCTTTTGCAAATCCCTGGGACTCTGATGTTGCTCTTGAGGGTGCTAGAGTGTCCTGATGGAGTCCAGTGTTGGCTCTAATACCTCTTACTGCCGTGAAGTGGGCCCAGATTCCTTAAGAAGCACCTGAAAATGCGATTTTTAGGTCCCACCTGAGACTGAATGGGAAAATTAGGCTTCTTTTTTCTAGTTAAGAGACATTGCACAACTTACACTTCCATATCCATTGATAGTCTTTCTCATTCATTCATTCATTCATTCACTCATTCATTCATCCCCTATTGCACAACTACTGTGTGTTAGTGGTGGATAGTCAAGGCCTCTCCCCTCACTGAGCCTCCAGCCTAGGGGCAGCCTCACACTACTCCACTGGTGCAGACACTGTCTCTAAACCTCGCAAAGCCTCCTCCTTGAGTAAAGTCTGCCTAACTTAGAACACATCCCCCGTGGTGACAGACCTCCCCCTTTGAAGGAGGAGAGGAATCTTTGGACCACCCAGACTCCTTCAGAACCCTGCCTGGGGAATGAGATGTATGATTAAACTTAAAGGAAAAAAAAATCTAGGACTTTGTTTTTCCCCTAAAAACCTCAGAAAAAACCCCAAAATATTTTAATGGCAATACATTGAGATAGTTTCATAACTCATAAGATGATGACGTGGAAGAACAGTGTTATTTAGATATTTTTTAAATGTCCTGTTACATCGTGGTCATATAAGGAGATTCTTTTAACTTAAGCCCACAGGGCTCACTTGGTAGCCTTTCCCTCCTTTCCTTTGTTCTAGAGGAGCAGGTAAAGGAGCAGATCTTTAAATTTTTTTTTGCATCCTGATCAGGGATTGAACCCAAAACCTAGGTATGTGCCCTGACTGGAAATGAACTCACAACCTTTTGGTGTATGGGAGGTTGCTCCATAACTGAGCCGCCCCTTGCCAGGGCAAGGAGCAGGATCTTTATCTCCCCTTCTTTCTTTCTCTTAATCTTACTCTTGAATAAATAGAAGGTGCAGAGCTCAGACCTTTCAAAACAGCTAGTGCTTCCCAGAGCTAGATTCTAGATGGCCCTCATTATTCTTCCTGACTTGCCCAAGGATCTTCTTCCAAGGTCGTCATCTTATTGTGATGTGAGCCTCATCACAGCTGCCACAACACGTCACAAGACAGGTACATGGCCCACACTCAGACGAAGCTGCAAGTGAAAACAGGAAGCAGGCTAGGATTTCCATTCCAGAGGAAAATGCCTCCAATGCCTTGCAGAATGACTCCGAGCTTCTGCCTCAGTGAGCTGACCTTCATTTCAAAGTCTAAACTATTTCGTTATGGTATATGGAAATGGCAGAGGTTAAATTCAGTGTTTCGTGAGGCAATCACATATCTAATAACCCCCTTTTGTTATGTCAGAATAAGACCATCTCTGCAAAGGGCAAAGAGGGATTCATTCATTCATTCATTCATTCATTCACTCATTCATTTACCAGATAGGTATGAAGTGACAGGCACTTTGACAGACGATGGGAAATCTAAAGCTAGAAACATAGTTTCTACCCTTATAGGGCTCCTGGTAGGGAGAGAGGTATAAACCAAATGTGGTGTGATATGGCTTGAATGTAATCAGGACTTCTTGAGCCACTCTGCTATATGTTGGAGACCTATCCCAGCATCCAAACCACCTGCTCCCAAGGCATTCCATGAGCAGGCAAAGGAGGGGGCATACGCCACTCATCACCAACAAAGCTTGCAGTCATCTCCTTTGCAAAGCATCTCTGCTTCTTTCCCAAACTGCCTGTCACCTCCTCCCACCCCAGAAGCAGGACATTAGCTTTTTCTCTCCTCCCCACCTTATTCCTCAACTTGTAACCTGACTTATTAAAAACAACAACTTATCTCAAATGTCTCTCAAGATTGCGTCTAGGAAGCCTCGATTCAGTGTGTCTGGTCCTGCGGGACTGTAGCATGTAAGGCAGGACGCGTGAGGCCAGAGAAGAAGCCTGGTGTCAGAGTAATGTGACCTTCCGTCCTTCAGACTATTTTTCATAGAAGCTACACCTACCCTTAATTTTTTGATTACTTCTAAGATTGCAAGGCTTGGTAAATAAGAAGAGAGGACACCCAGCTAAATTTGAATTTCAGATAAACAATGAATAATTTTTAGTATAAGTATGTCTCATAGAATATTTGAACATATTTATACTAAACATTATTTATTATTTATTTCAAAGTCAACCCTAACTCCTTCATAGGAGGCACTGTGTCCATCCATTAGGAGGTGCCGGCTCTCTCACCATCTCTCTTTTTGCGATGTTAGTGGCTGGTGATGGCAATCATGGCCTAGATTGATTATTTCCCTAGAGGTTGTAAAATTATGATGTTCTAATTCTACTTTCTTCCCCTTCATTTCTTAGCTGGAATATGTCTATAAAGAGAAACTGTCCCTCATCACCTGTTTGGTTTGCCTGGTCATTTTCATATAAGAAAAGCAGGATACAGGCTTAATTCTTTTTATTTACAAGTTTTCAGAAAAATTGGTTCCCTAGCATCCTCCTAAGGTGACCAATGTTCCTTCCCTTAAAAGTATCATTATGAACTTGGGGAGCTTGACACGTATACCTTTTGATCCATTGCTATCAATGTTCTTTTAGATGCTCAGATTGCCCTATCTTTGGCCAGTGGGAGCCTCTGGCACTTGGCTTCTGAGACCTTTTGATGCCACTCCAGTAGCCTTTGTTCCTTTGCTTTCTAGTGTAACAAGTGTCCCAGGTTCATCTTACACATTTCCAGCCCAGACTTGGAACAAGACATTTCTCTTAGCAACCCCTTTAGTGGGAAATGATATTTAGAGACCAAACATTTCTGACTTCACTATTTAAAACTATAACAAACCTCTGGAGCAAACGCACATTTATATGCTCCCTGAGATCCCCTTACCCTGATCTAATGATGCGGGACTGAGAAGCAACTGGAGGAGACTACTGGCATAATCCAGGCAAGGTATAAGAAGGGCCTGAAGTAGGACAGGGAAATGGAACTGACTGGACTTATGAAGCAGATTGACCTAGAGATCTCCCAATTCCAGACCAAGAGGTAAATGCCAGGGTGCATAATTTCTCAAGATCCAAACCTACCTGCTAAACAGCCTTTCTCCTTCTCGCCCTCACCCCAGATAAACACACATACCAAAACATCACACCCTTTCCAAAAGATAGGAAGCAGGATGCACACTGGGATCCTGGACAAATGCCCAACTGCCCCAGGGTGGCCTGATCGGGGTGCAAAGCCTAGACAGCACACAGGGTTTCCTTGTTCCCCCCACTGGGTTTAAGTGAATTTTTAAAACGCTCTTCCCTGGCTACCCGAGGATTAGCCATGTGTTTCAGCAAGTGATTGAAAATCATTACTCGTCTCTTTTGGTTGAACCTCAAACGTTTGAAATGTACACAGCTTGGCAGGCTGGCCAGGGCAGCTGAGCTTGAAGAGGACATGTCCCAGCCATCTGTTGCCCTGCTTCATACCAGCCTTCTGCCCTTCCCGCTGCTGAGGAGCGCAGGGCTTGACAGGCAAATGCAGGACAAAGACAACTGCAGCCCTGGCTTCAAACAGTTGCTCACCCTGTGTCTTGGAGGTGGGGGGAAGGGAAGTTATTGCATTGTTTTTATGTGCTTTGCCTTGAGATATGTTTTTTCTTCACCTTAGAGATCCAGCGAGTTTTAGGGACAGAGACAAATTCCCTGTGATTTCTCCTCCATCAGAGCAGCTCACACTGTGCTCAGCTACTCTGTGGTGATTCAGGCAACGTGAAGATTAGAATTTCATTTAAAAATATTTAAGTATTTTAAAAACTGCTATTAATAAGTATTGTAAGTGTACGAATGCATTTAATAAACACGTTTAGCCCATCAAGTGGTTTAAATTGCATCACCATGGGGAGGGCAGTCAATTTTATTATCCTTTTTTATTAATTTCCTTTTTAAGAAAAGGTGTTTCTTATTGATTTCAGAAAGAGGAAAGGAGAGATAGAAACATCAATGATGAGAGAGTTATTGATTGGCTGCCTCCTGCACACCCCTTACTGGAGATGGAGCCCACAACCCGTATGGTATATTTGTCACAATTGATGGATCCATATTGAGACATTATTATCAATTAAAGTCCACAGTTTATTCAGATGTCTTTAGTTTTCACCTAATGACCTCTTTTTCTGTTCCAGGGTCCCATCTAGGGAACCGCATTACATTAAGGTGTCAGGTCTTCTTGAGCTTCTCTTGGCTGTGACAGTTTCCCAGACTTTCCTTGTTCCTGATGACCTTGTGAGTACTGGTTGAGTATTTTCCTCTGCTTGCAATCCCTCTATAGGGATTTATGTATTTTTCTCCTGAGTAGACTGGAGTTATGGGTTTAAAGGAGGGTGATCACAGAGGTAAAGTGCCATTTTCATCTCATCATATCAACAGTCTATACTACATCATGATTTATGACTGTTGATGTTCATCTTGATCACCTGCCTGAAGGACCATTTGTCAGATTTTCTCACTGTAAAGTTTCCCTTTCCTTTCCTTTCCTTTCCTTTCCTTTCCTTTCCTTTCCTTTCCTTTCCTTTCCTTTCCTTTCCTTTCCTTTCCTTTCCTTTCCTTTCCTTTCCTTTCCTTTCCTTTCCTTTCCTTTCCTTTCCTTTCCTTTCCTTTCCTTTCCTTTCCTTTCCTTTCCTTTCCTTTCCTTTCCTTTCCTTTCCTTTTTCGTTACTCTTCACCTGAGGATATTTTTTCCATTGATTTTTAGAGAGAGTGGAAGGGAGGGAGGGAGGAGGAGATACACACACACACACACACACACACACACAGAAGCATAGATGTGAGAGAGACACATAGATTGGTTGCTTCTCACATGGGCCCCAACTGGGGCCAGGGATCCAACCTGCAACCCAGTCAAGTGCTCTTGACCGGCAATCGAACTCCAGACCCTTCAGTGCGTGGGCCGACGCTCTAACCACCAAGCCACACAGGCCAGAGCTATAAAGTTTTCTTTTTAAAAGAAATTATGTAAGTGTGGGCTTATAGATATTTATTTTATACCTCGGGTTATAATCTAATACTACTTTCTTTTAGTCTTCAAATTGTTCCAGCTTTGGCCACTGGGAGCTTTCCATTGACTCCTGTGCGCCTGTACTCTTGTGACTCCTGTGACGTACCCCATCAATGTGGGGGTTTTTGTAAACTCGGTTTTGTGAGGACTTTGGCACATGCGCCATCTGGCGTCTCTGAGACCAGGCTGGCACCTATAGTGGGTGCGCCTGCAAGAATCCGTGCTGCGCCAGCCTGGGCACGTCTGCTCATAAAGAGCAGAGCAACGAAGAGCTGAGGCCTTCCTGTGCTGGGGTCCGTCTGGCTCCACAAACGCCAGGCTTGTAACAGAGAATCTGGAGTGATAGCATTGTCTTGTTTGTTTAGTACTTGCTGTAAGTTTTAGTTATTTATTGCCTGACTTTTATGTTTATGAGGGGGATAAAGAGTGATTGTTGGATATTTAGATAATTACTCAACTCTGAAACAAAAATTTCCACTACTTTTCTTTCTAGCTTTTAGATTGGTTTAATTGAAGACTATTCTAATCTCAAAAGACAAATTGTGAAAAAAAGGCTGTTGGTAGGAGTTAAGAGCACTAACCCTGGTACACAGCTTCCTTGATTTAAATCCTTGACCTTGGCCAAATTACTCCACTCCTCTGTACCTCAGTTTCTTCCCCTATGAGAGGGGAATGCTGCCCAGCCGGGCGTGGCTCAGTGGTTGAGCATCGACCTAGGATCTAGGAGATGGTGGTTCGATTCCCGGTCAGGGCACATGCCCGGATTGCGGACTCCATCCCCAGTCAGGAGCGTGCAGGAGGCAGCCGATCAATGATGACTCTCTCATCATTGATGTTTCAACTCTTTCTCTCCCTCTCCCTTCCTCTCTCTGAAATCACTAAAGATATATTTTTTAAAAAAAGGAGGGAGAATGCTAATGGTGGACTCACCTCAAAGGTTTGCTAAGTGAGTAAAATACACAAAATGATTAGAATAGGGCCTGACATATAGTGGGTGCTGTGTAATGGTGTCTATCATTATTATTTATAACCATCTGCTATGGTATGAATGTTTGTATCTCCCCCCAAATTATTATGTTGAAATCCTAATCCCCAAGGTGATTGGGCCATAAGGGTAGAGCCCTGATGATTGGGATTAGTGCCCTTATAAAAGAGGACCCGCAGATTTCCCTAGTTTCTTCCCTCCTGTGAAGATGTAATGAGAAGTCTGTGACTTCTAAGAGGACCCTCATCAGACCGTGATCTTGGACTTCCAGTCTCCAGAACTGTGAGAAATGAGTTTCTGTTGTTTATAAGCTACCCAGTCTATGGTGTTTTGTTATAGCAGCCTGAACCGACTAAGACACCATTCATCTGTATGACCAGAATTTTCTCAGAACTGTGTGACCAAAGCAAAATACAAAAATAAGCTGTATGCTGAGACTGACATAAAGCTGTAAATTGGTCAGGGCTCCAATTTAAAAATGTAACGGAAACCGACTCTGGATGAGTTAAGCATAAGAGGAATTTACAGAAAGGATGCTGGGTAGCCCACAGAATCTCTAGGAAGGCCAGAGAGCCAGGCTCAGAGCAGGAATGACAACAAAGGATGCTGGACAGCAGCCAAGAGCATGGCCAGAAGTATGGCACAGAAGCTATCTAGAGAGTCCTGCCCTGGCCTCAGAACCCTGGGAAGCTTGTGCCACAACCAGGGCTGGGGCCTGAATGATGACCCTGCTGCTGCTGCTGATACCCTGGAATCTGGACATGGTGACCACAGCTGCTGCTTGCCACTGGCACAAGAAAAGGTTCTTTGTGGTTGTCCCTGTGTGGTCCCTAATTCAGAGTCCAAGGAGGTGCACCTGATTGGTGGAACCCAGATCACATGTCTAAGCTCAGTAGATGAGGGGAGCTGGGAAGCAAGTGTCTGGCCTTTTCAGCCTCTATAGTGGAAGCTGAGCAATGGGCTCTAATTTCCACTAAGACTCATAGGATGGAGTCTTCCACACACCTGGGAAGGGATTCTGAGGCTGGGCAGCCAAAATATGACAGATGTTGTCCATCACCCCTACTTTCAAATTTTGTTCCATCATTGATGGACTTCATAATAAGCAAAAGTTTGAAAAACACTGGCCCATTGCTCTGGTGTCCCTTATATTTTTCAAGTCATAGGGATAGGTGAATAATTTCTGTGAGTTCTAAGGAAGACAAAAGCTCTACTGGTTGGATTTGGGCTGGACTTTCCATGGAGGCTGTGACTCCTGGCCTTAAAGGATGTTGCATTCCAAATTTTTATAAATGACAGTAGATGTTCCTGTAATTCATAAAATGAAAATTCCTTTATTTTTTGTCAATTTTAGAGAGAGAGAAGAATATCAATTTGTTGTTCCATTTATTTATGCATTTACTGGTTGCTTCTTGTGTGTGCCCTGAACTGGGGATCAAACCTGCGACCTTGGCATATGGGGATGACTCTCTAACCAACTGCGCTACCCAGCCAGGGCTGCAAATTCCTTGGAAAGATACAAAAGTGATTGTTGTTTTTACCATTCTGCATTTTTTTGGATCAACAGATACTAAAATTACTATTGCCATCCTGTGGAGTCTTTGAAATTTTTTGCTGTGAGAAAGAAGTCTTCATATTCGAATGTCGGAAACCCTGAGCATTGCCTAAATGAAGAAATGGAGTCCCAGGAGGTCAAATGACATGTGCAAGGTTGCACAGCTGGTTTGGTGGCAGGCTCTGGGCCTGGTGCCCCAGTCCTCGGTGTTCCCCCTTGTTGTGCAGGCCTGGCCATCCAGCCCCACAGCCATGGCCTTCCTGAGGCAGGTCTTGACAGGAATCCCGAAGCTGCTTTTGAATACTGGCCTGTGGCCACTGCTGCTGCTTTATTTGTTCCTACCTTCTGGTGTGGGAAATCCCAAGTGGCTTTCTCTCTGCCTCAGGCTCCTCCTTGGAGAGAAGAAGAAAACAAATAGAGCAAGCAGACAGTAGCCCCCACATTGGTGCTGGGCTTCACTGGCTGGCCCGGGCCCTCCTCTGGCTCCTCTTAGTGTGGCTAACCTCCTGCCTTAACCTTTCACTTGCTCCACATCCTAATAAACAGATTCCCTGGCCCTGCACTCACACCCTGGCTCCCAGCCATGAGGCTAGGTCAGATCCTACTGCCCGCTGAGTGCACTCTTAACAATGGAACAGCCTGTCTCCTTGCCTGGCCAGCCAGATCTGGACCCAGCCACCCCTGAGGAAGCTTCTGGAAGCAGGGTTCATACTCTACCCGCCCTGGGATCCTCAGCACCCAACATGGCCCAGCAAACCCTGGTTGAAGAGATGAATGACCTGCTCTGTTTGGCTGCTGCCCACACCTAGTCGAGACATAGTGGAGTAAAGGGAAGTGGAGGTGTTGAGAGGACAAACTATGTGAAAGATATTTTTTGTCTACACCACCTGGGGGTATTTCTGTCTTGTATTGACACTAGTTATTTAGATCTGAAACCACGATGCCATAGACAAGATCTGGGCTGTGGCCGGCCCAGGCCAGAGCAGGGAAAACTGTCCTTGGGAGTGCCAAGAGAACTTCAGGCAAAGTCAACTTAGCTAAACCAGGGAGAAAGACATTCATTCATTCATTCATTCATTCATTCATTCATTCATTCATTCAATATGTATTGAGTACCATGTGTGTCTGGTTTTATGCTAGGCAGCCAAAGATTCAATGGTAAATGAGAAACACTCTCTGCCCTCAAGACGTTTATTTTTATTTTTTTGTTAATTCTCACCAGTGGATATTTTTTCCATTGATTTTTAGAGAGAGTAGGAGGGATGGAGGGGGAGAGAGAGAAACATTGATGTGAGAGAGACACATCGGTTGGTTGCCTCCCGCACTCACCCCGACCAGGGTTGGGAATTGAATCTGCAGCCCCGGTACGTGCCCTTGACCGGGAATCAAACAGGCGACCCTTTGGTTGCATGGGCTGACGCTCTAAACCACCGAGCTACACCAGCCAGGGCAGCCCTCAAGATGTTTAGAGTGAAGAAGATAAAGCAGGGAACTGATATCTACAGTGGATTATGATGCACGCTGAAATAATAATAGCTAATATTTATTGAGTGTTCACTATATGCCAGATTCCACACTAAGCTATTGACTATGCATTGTTGCAGGTAATCCTCATAGGAACCCTATTATTGGGTATTACTATTATTTCCATCTTACAGATGAGAGAATAGAGGCATGGAGAGGTTAAG